TATAGGATAATAAACATATAGGGTGGGCCGAATTCTTTTCACTCCCTACCTCAAAAAAGTAATGAGAACAATAGAAGAACAAGTGCTGGATTCATTTTATTCTCTTTCATTGACGCTGTCAGATATGTAGAAGGTCTGTATGAGCGCTATCATTTTCGTGGCAGCCATCTGAAATAGAAAATTATATTATATAGGGGTGACAAAATATTCGGACCACTCTGTAGAATAGACTGTACTAGGAGTAGTTTTGCTCAATAACGCAAATTTCTTCAAAACAAAATACAACCTGGAATCTCAAGTCATATTCTTAAATCGCCTTGTCAGATCGAGACGTGAGATGCATGTCATGGATGGTATCAGCAGTATACAACCGATTTCCCAGATCAATGTCTCTGAGTGAATGAATCCTGTTGGTCTTAACGCGAAACATCCTTCTGAGAACCTTGCGAAATTGCGCTGCAGAAGCACAAAAAAAAACTGTACCAAATAACAGAAAGTACACCACTTGAGAACTTTAAAGTAAAAAAAGAAATAAAATGTGTAGAATATGTAACTCGAAGTGAAAATAATTGCTTAATTGAGATGCTGGTGTTCTACACTACTTTAGAGAAAATGTTACGAAGGAAGTACAATTCAATATTGGAAGGAACAATAATAGATACTAGACTTGAGAAAACTATTTTCCCGAAAAGAAAATTAAAAGGAAAGCAGCACTGGCTGTTCGGTCAATCAATACTTAAAATTTCCCTATGAGGAAACGCTTAATATTACCATTATCATTTTGGTGTGAATTTGTTTTAAGGTACATTGAACTAGGCTTTGTGGACAAGTTGACGAGAATTAATCATCCTTAAAACATGCCATTTTCGTAATCAGCCTTACAGCTATATGTTGAAACAGCAGTTATTATTCAATCACTGAAGTTAAGTAATGTCTAGCCTGGTCAGTATCTAGATGGGTGACCACTTGGGAATACTAGGTGCTGTTAGCTTGGATATGCAGGCAGTGTAATCTGTAATAGCTTGGAATGAAAAATCAGAAAGCCGAGTGACTTCAAGTCAGATTTTTATTACATTAACTTACACATAAATGCTCTCAGGAAAGATATAAATCCAACTCTTCTCTCCACAGTTATGTTAAATAGTAGGACTAGTATCTAAAAATCATCATCTCAAAAAGAATACAATATTCACTGAAAAAAAAAATTGTTTCACTCTGAAAGAACCACCATTTTGTAAAAACAACTCCTACATGAATGCAATAGTACAGAGGCCAGAGAGAGAGAGAGTTCCAGGAACTCCTTCTTAAACAAGAAACAAGGTGTGAATGTTTTTCCAAATGTTACATTCTTAACTTCTAGTTGTGTAGTATCAATAGTTATTTATCCACCATGTCCTAGTAAATATATCACATATGATATGAATTTGTTTTAAGGTACGTTAAACCGGGCTATGTGGACAAGGTGACGAGAATTAATCGCCAATGATATGTGCAGGGTAGGTTTACTCGGAGTTAACATAAAGACTCTGGCGTGAATGCTTCCCAGAATATTAAAATCAGAACTTCTTCATGTGTAGGGTTAACAATTATATATCTGCCATATCCTAGCGGTTCATATCATATATCTCATTCAATAACCTCTGGCTCTTCGGTCTTGTGAACTTTACTTAAATAAAAACCTTTGGAGTAAGTAACATCGAAATCACAGAGCTGCATTATGATACATCGAGTGTTGTTTTATTACCATCTTTACACACTGCATGAATATATATATATATATATATATATATATATATATATATATATAAATATATGAATATATGATATATATATATATATATATATATATATATATATATATATATATATATATATATATATATATATATATATATATATATATATACGTATATAAATAAATACATTTCAATAAAGGTGCAATTAATTTACAAATTCACGAATTATTCATACAAAAAACAAATACAAAGGTTAATGATTTAATTGGCGAGAAATCCATCGTCGCGAACAATTCAAATAATATACAAAAAACCCCGAACCTGTTTATGAATGAAAAGATCCTTGTTTTTATAAATTTCTGTTGCATTAGTTCTTATTTTTACTACAAGCTTTCGTCTGTTCTAATGAACTAAATAAATAAATACGTATATACATATATACATATATATATATATATATATATATATATATATATATATGTATGCATATATATATATATATATAATAATCAATGTGTAAATATAGGTAGTTATAAGAGCGACCGAACACAATTCGAATACATATAAATACTCTATAGTGTAAGATTAAATAGTGCTCATGGAACTCAGTTGTGTAATTAATGTACGGTATTATATATATATATATATATATATATATATATATATATATATATATATATATATATAAAAGGACATTGAAGTCAACAGCAAGAATCGACCGTCTGTTTCATGCTAAATTCTATCCTTGCTTTCAGCACGAAACAGACTTTCAGCTGAATTCAATGTCCGCTTTTATATTTACATATGCTCTATCTTGATATTGAGCACCTCATAAATATAGCATACCTTAAAACTATATTGTATCGCATATGTATATAGTCATCCCCGGACAGACTGTGTCACGGCCCATCAGCGGGGCTAGACATCCGATTGTTTCAAGCCGTGATCCAATGCAGACCAATTTGGTATCAGTCAGAGATTTTACACCTAGGCTAATATCGTACGAGTAAAGAGGATGGAAAATGTTAATGTTTTCTATGCGAAATACGTCAGTGGCCCGGAAAGCTCAATTCAGTTCGGTTGAAGAGCAATGCATTAATACATTTACATTAAAATTACCTGTTTCTCACGAGAGCTTCAAACCTGGATCGAAACCCAGTCAGAGATTCTACCCCTAAGCTATGATCGCACGGCAGAGAGGAGGGGAAATTTTAACGTTTTCTATGCAAAACATATCAGTAAACGGGAGAGCTCAATACAATTTGGTGGAAGTGCAATGGGTTAATAGCGGTATGAGCCATTTCTTAAAAAATAATTAACCTTTTCTCACGAGAGTTCAAACAGAATTTCCGGTAGCATATATATATATATATATATATATATATATATATATATATATATATATATTATATATATTGTTATCAGCCAGACTGTTTCGCTGTATCACGGCTCTTCAGTGTGTTTAAGACGTCCAATTGATTCAAACCGGGTTCGAAAGCCGATCGATTTGGTATCAATCAGAGATTCTACCCTATATATATATATATATATATATATATATATATATTCAACCCCTATATAGATTCTACCCTTATATATATATATATATATATATATATATATATATATATATATATAGTTCTTAACGAACTCAGAAATTATTAATTCACAATAGTGTCGATAGTCATATAATTGATAAACGAATTAAAATGACCTAGAACAAAATCGAAAATAATACAGTTAATAATAAAAGGGGGAAAAAACCCCAAAATCTGAAAACTATTCGCCAAAAAGCAACTACACAGTAATCACAAACTAGACCAAAATTAAAAGGAGCCTAATGTATAGATACATATCACCTAACGACAAAAACATATAAATTAAACTTATCATATAATGCAAAAAACTAAACCTTAACATATTTACCATCGAGTTAACAACGAAGACTAAATAAATAAAAAGTTAAACAATGTGAATTTGCATGTCCACAGAGACTATGTGTCTCTCATAATACTTCAGAAAAAAAGAACATACCTTGGTTACACAACAACCACATTACCGCGCCGATTGAAATACCATTTATCTATTAATTGACCAATTAAACTAAATATACCTAATCAAGGCAACAATAAACACAAAAAATCAGACAAATATTTAATAATAGCAAATGTATGATATGATATAAAATATAAAACTTAGATGCTAATAAGAGAAAGCTTAAGAAGAAAAAGAAAACACTCAAGGTAAAAAATTCATATGAAAATTCGGCAACAAATGTACTAAATATAATTCATAAATGAAAAAAAAAGCAACTCCGAATGACAATATATATATATATATATATATATATATATATAGGTGGCCTGATGATTGCGTTTAGCATGAAACCATCTGTCGCCTCTGAGTGTTAACTTCAATGTTCCCTTTATATTACATATATATATATATATATATATATATATATATATATATATATATATATATATATATATATGGTGTATACCTTGAATTCCTTGATAAGATCCAAAGAAGAATCAGCAATATTATTGGTTCTGATCTAGCGACTTGGCTTCAGTCATTTCCCCACTGACGTAACTAGAGATCTCATCATTTTACATTTGAACTAACTAGATGTAACCGTAAGTTCTATGCTAGCATTTTCTTGCTTTTGGAAATCCCTTCCGCCAACTTTAACCTGCACAAATTAATTGCAATGTTAATCGCTGTCTACTGCCCTCTTGGTTACTCTTTCCACTTCCCGCTCATTATTAATGTTTCTGTTCCTAATTCTTCACTCCCTTTAACCCTTTGCGTTACTGTCCTGTTTAGGGGTGACACCGATTCAATATATATATATATATATATATATATGGACGAATGTCTTCCTTTTAGTTACTACTAACAAAAAGATTTGGATACTGGATCCTCTTAATTTAGATGTATGCTGACCTGGTTAACGTTAAGTT